TGACAAGCAGACATCCCCAAAGATGATTTCAGTGATTCTGAAAAGTCCAAATAGAGATGAAAATTGGTTTTTGGCTGATTCAAATTTTAAGAGCTCAAAGAAAATTCTATTACATAATTTTAGCAACTGTAGCTTCTCCCTTTATTTTGAAAGAATAGCTTTACATTTTCCTGACTATAAGAATGTTTCCCCCCAAATCAGAAACATAAAGAACACTTAATAGAAATTCTGGAGTCCACCTCTGTTGGTATAATCCAGCATTTACAAAAATTCCTCAAGCATGGATTCTGGTTTTTTTCTGTCCCTATCTTTGTTCACCCCCTTGTGGCCATGATATAAAAAAGCCAAGAGCAAGAGCTAGGCAGCAAAAAAACAAAAAAACAAAACACAGTGGGCTAGGGAGTGAAAGACCTGGATAATAAACCGATCACTTCACATTTGAAAACTATTCATGATAATCAAGCTACAGAAATCTACCAGAAATCTATAAGGATCTGGATCTTGGCAGGAAACAAACAGAATACTTGAAAGGGGTGATTGTAAATTATCCCTTCACTGAACTTCTTTGAACTATTGGGCAGTTAAGAGAAATGGAAAGTAGTATCCTACAGATACCTCTCATTGGCTGAACCCAACTAGAAGCCCGAAGGTGAAGGAACTGTTTGCAGTCCTTGAGGTCCAGCCTTCAAGGATACAAAGCAGGGCGAAGGGTAGAAAGTGATCTGGTTGGACCATCTGAGTAAGTCCATGCAATCTTTCTAAAGCATTTCATTATAATTTATTTCATAAGGCATGAATCCAAGATCTACATTATGGGGAAAATCTATGCAATTCCTATGGCCTACATGGAAAATAGCAAATATAACAGAATTTCACACTATCTGAAAGCATTACTCAGACTTTGTTCCTCCATCGAATGCTTACAGAGATATAAGCCTGATGGCCGTGGGGGGCGGGGGGTGTTTCACAGCACTGGATACTTTGATGTGAGTGACAGTAAGGGAAGGGAAGAAGAGAAAGTAGTAATATAAAGAAAGTACACTTTCCAGCTCCCACCTAAGGTATTAGTACCAGCACTGTTTATCTACTAGTCGAACTGAACATGTGTCAAAGATACCAGCAAAGAAGGGTCACCAAGAATATATGAAAGAAAATCAGAAAACACCAGATGAAGTTATTTTTATTTCAGCACATTTGTAAATTTTGTATCATTTTAGAAAAGTTAAATATTATTTTGTAGTTTTTTACTATGGTTCCAAAAATGCTTATTCCTGCTTTGACTGGGAATGAAACAAGGGCATCTCAGGGCTCAGTCCATCAAATCCTAGGGAATGAATGCAATGAGCAGAGCCTTGTGTTTTAAAATTAACATTTTGGGCTTGGCACCTGTGGTTCAAGTGGCTAAGGTGCC